AAAATCTGTTGTATATTCTTAACAGAATCACAATGTTTGTCTTTTTAGTATGTGCATTAACTATGTTTGTAGATACATTTGTCACATACAGCCTAACAGTTGCATATATGCATATGTCCAGATTCTATAAGTCCTGCATACTTCAAGGATGCATTAATTATGTCAGTTTTGTGCAGCAAAAGAGAACCATATATTTTGTAGTGGCTTCACAACAGGTTTTAGCACCTCCTCTTCTCATACCATTGTTTTTCTATTGTGAGCAATCTAAGCTGACTTTCAGCAGGGGCCTCACGTGACTAAAGAAGATCCTGAAATGTTAACAAAAGGGAGATTAATATGGAACAACTCTGAATCCTCTGATTCTTTCTTTGTATTACAGTGGTTAGGCTGTATTTTTAAATGAGGCAAGCAGTGGCTGATAAATAAGATACCCTGAAGGCTTTCTACCTCTTTTGCATACCAGCTTTTTTCTTACGAAAACAAACAAACAAAAACAACTTCCCAAACAACAACAACAAAAAAACTGAAGTTATTTTTAATAAGAATAGGCTCAGGTCTTATAAAAGCTTAATACTTAAAATTTGATTTTTTTGTTTTTTTCCTTTGTGAATGGAAGTTTTTACAGCTTCTTGGAAAGAGAAGTAATACTCAAAAGGGAAAAGAGTGAAAACGTAATGGACAAACACTTGCAGTTGTCACCAGATGATAATAAAAGTTAGAGCACGCTGCTCCAATCTGGTACCAAAGCTTGGGCAGAGAACAATGCAGCGAGGGGTTTCCATGGTAACATGCATCTCCTGCCCCATCCCACATGTGGATCTGAGCACTATGATTATTAGCTCCTACATTGAGAGGGAAACTACAAAACGCAGGAATTTATCACAAGGTTGGGGAAAATGCCTGAGAGGCATAAAATTACATGGAAGAAGAATCGTGGCAGTCGGATAATGCTTCATAGTCATCCCCACCCTCATGCCCAGCACTCCTCTCAAATACACTGTTCAGAGCAGCAGTGTCATGGGCATCTTGTGGCCACCACTGCTCCTTTGGAGCAGCTCATAGGCAGCTCGGGCTATTATTCACCACGGTTCAGAGTTTGATACAGTGTGCAACACAGCATGGCCTTACACTGCGAGGGCTGATGGGCTCCAGAACTGTAATGAAGCCATGTCACCTCCTCCCCTATTTCACAGCACTGTAATCTGCAGCAACTTTGAGTTATGGCTGTACTGCACTTTATCCTCTGCTATTTTCTCTCATTAAAATAAGATTTCCATCGCTGTTCTTACCATAGTTGAAGCAATGAATAAAAATACTGTAGTATATTTCATATGTGTATGTGTCTACACATTGCTGATGTGGTTTATGATTTTTATTAAATACACAGGTTTTCACCTTTAATGAAGTGAACACCAAAGACAACCACCCTAAAATCTCTTGTCTGCATGGCATTCAAATTCTTAGTCAGCTATTTTTCTTTGATTTTTTTCTGCATGACCAATGGATTAATACCTAACAGCCACCATTATCACACAATGTGGACAACATTGCTTATGACACTTCGCAGCAGTGTCTTTCCGTCCCTCTGAACTCCCTGTGACCCACATATGTCTCCTTCCTCTTCACTGGTTGAATCAACAATTATACTATGTTGATGAACACCAAGAATAGGGAAACACACATATGCATTTGCTTTTAAGTCTCAGAGTTGTCTGAATACAGAAGAAGCCTGTGGCAATTTATGCCCTGCTGAAATACAGTTATCTTAACTGATATATGGGGATTACCATAATATTTCCTATTAAGCCTATGTGATTTTCCTTTCATTTCCATAGATAAAAAATGGTAATACATTATCACTAGTGACATTGCAGGCACTGACTTTAGCTATAAAAGTAAAAATCTAGCTGTATACATAAATAACGATAAGATCATTGCTGTTAGGTGCTGCTGATGGAGGTGTTCAGTCTTAGCAGTCCAAGGTTATGCTGAGCATATTAAACCTTCTAGAAATTTACTCTAAGGATGCTCCTAGTTGAAAATACTCTAATTAGCACTACCAATTCAAAAGTTCACCAGATATCATCATTAATAATTCTAACTCAACTAACACCATGAATCAAAATACAGAGACAGCAAATACTACACGGTGTCCCTGTTGCTTTTTAAATCATGCAGAGTGACAAATACATGACATTAAGATGGTGCTCAATCACTGTGCATTTTCCTCTGTTCCTCACCACCTAACAGAACGAATGTGTTATGCATTAAATTCGTTACCACTCACCTGGGTTGCTCATAGGAAACTACTTTTTACAGTACAAAAATACAACATCAGAGATGTTATTTGACTTAAACAAAGTGTTTTTCTAGTACACATGAAATTGATTATTTTTCTTCCCAAATTGTCACTTAGTTGTTTGTCCCTGGAACTGCGCTGCAACTTTTCTTCTGCTTTCTTCTTCCATCCCCTTTCCTTGCCTTAGTACAACAATGTCTTCCCACCTCTGCAGCTGAATTACTTTGTTCATTGAAGAATGAAGATTATAGCCCTCTGATACAATTTTTTTTTTTTCCAGTCAAATTATGTAAATCCCTTCTTGCATAAACCCAGTCTATTTCCCTGGAATATAAAACTGTCAAAATTGAGAAAGAAGAAAATAAATAAATGAATAAGTAAATGAATAAATAAATAAATATCTCTCTTATGGACTCTGAAGGAAGGTAGCCTTTTAAAATTCCTTGAAGATTAATTTCTGTAAGGAACAAACCGTTCTTCCAAGGAATGTTTCCTGTTTTCCTTACAAACATTTTGAAGTCAATCTGAACATGTCAGGGGACCTGCCATGCTGTGGTGGGGGCATTTTGCCTGTACAAGCCTTTCTTGTGTATCATATTGGACCAGATATTTTTCCTACTGAAAAAGAAACCTTGCTTTTCAGCCAGAGTAATAGATTTTATGCTAAAATGGAACTTGAAGAAATTACTCGGAAGAAAGAAATTGGCAAGCAAGAAAATCAGGTGTTTGTATGATACTTGGACTTAAGCAGCAACTTCTGGAGCCAGGATTTGAGAGGTGTTATTAGAGTTTGGTGAAGAATCTGAAATGCAGCCAGTGAAAATTGAACAGAATTTCTGTAGTGTCAGACATCTTCCTTGTGTCTGTGTATGCTGGTTAACTTTCATTGTATTAGCTTTTACGTATTATCTACTGCATTGTGTCAAAATGATGTTACGTGTTGAATGAAGATAGTGTCAAGGACAGAAACAAAGGAATGAAAGTCCTGTTTTCTAAATGCAACTTCCACATCTGCAGACCAAATTTGAGCACAAGGACTTGTTCTGATATGAAGTGGCATATTTAAAGCATAGAACTGGACATGAAATAACTAGAGAGCTGGATTACCCTAGTTTAGTGTTAGAATGGAAGAGCATTACTTGGAATTCAGGAATTCCTCAGCCAGACTACTTTGCTGAAGTAATATGACGTTATTATCATTCCACTGCTTATCACTGGAACTGCTGATGGAAAGTGTTTAAAGGTGACAGTATAAAGGAACCCAGTATTTGATACAGATACTGCCCAGTATTGCATGGAAAATACCTGAAGATATCCTAGTAGATGCTGAAACTGAAATATTTAATTTCAAATTACTGGATTTAAAAAGATGTCAAAGATATATTTGGGATGGAATAGACTGCTTGTATCTTGTGGTATAGCCTATATAATTGCATTTGTTTATCTAAAAGATGATAGTTATATTATTCCTTCTTCAGCAGTCTAGCTATCATGAATTTTCTGATGCTTCCAAAGAAGAGCAAGTGATGAGTGTTTGGCTTAAATTACACAAACAACTATTATTTACCCCAATTTTGTTTTCTTCCATTCACTTGCTCACATGTTCACTTACCTTTTGTGCTTATTTGTAAAAGAATAGTGATGTAATCATGTTCCATTTAACAAGAACATCATACAGCTGCCTGACTCTATTTTAAATATGCTACTTCAAATTATATCAGTTCCGTTACTGTTTTCTTCCTTTTGTGAATAGAGCTAGGCAAAGAGCTAAGGAAAAACCTTCAAATTGTGTGAAAACAAACTTATGTCAACACAAAACTAAAAAAGAAAAGAATGTGTGTGCCTGAGCATTTCTGAATGACCAGCGTGGAGATGTCCTTCTGGCTCCAGGACTGGATATCCCAGGGCATGCCATGCAGCCATCTGCTGGCATCTGTACATCCTTTTGGTGAGCAGTGCAGCCCTGCTCAGTAAGAACAGCAAGCTGTGCTATGGCAGGGTCTGTTGCTTCTGCAGAAATGCCTGTTGTGCCCTGTGGGTGCATCTGCTTGAGTCTTGGCCTAGGCAGCAGTATTCCAGTTTGGAGCAGAAACGCTTTTCACAGAACAGATGCTGTGGTGGTTCTGCTCAGTAGCGTGGTCACTCTATTTCTAGAGAGCTCTTTTGTTGCTACCCACATCTCTTCCCTGATTTTTTCCCCCACAGAAATGTAGCGCAGGAGCAATTCCTATTTAGCAAAACATTTATGGAAACGTGTATGCTTTTTCTTTGTTTTATTTATTCTCCTTGACCCATCCAGTAAATATACCGGAGATAGAATGCGAAATAAAATCAGCCTTTTTCCATGATAGTTTTATGGAAACCAAATTTTTTTTTTTTTGTGAATATGGGCAACACTTATTTGATTAAAACTTTTCAGTGCTTTTATTGTATATGAATGAAGGTACACTTCTATCTAATCAAACCATACTAAATGCACTGTTTTAAATGTGATCATTTTACAGAGCTGAATGCAACTTTGAACAAAAATACTGGGATGGGTGCCGAGTCACGGCCTGAACCTCTGATTGATCACCTGAGGCAAGCAATGAGTCAACCAGAGGAGCACAGGTGTAGGCAATTCACCTCTGCTGCCTGGCTCCACCCCTTCTAGACCTATTTAAGAGCTGGCTGCCAGTTGGGAAGGGTTTCTTCAGGAGGTCACTGCTACTGGTGTTTTGTGAGTGAGCTCAGGATCGGGGTAAGCCTTGTATTTATTTTCTTTTGTTATCTTAGTTTGGGTTGCTTAGTTCTCTTGTTTATTTTGTGATTATATCATCCTAATATTTTTTGATTATACGGATGAGAAATAGACTGTTCTTGTGTAACAATATATAAAAAATGTGTAAGAATAATATGCATATTTTAAATGTGAAAGACTATTTAATCACATTGACCCAAGCCTTGCATTTGAGTAAATAAATCTTGTTTAAAGAAAGAAATCCTGTAGCATGGTAATAATAATTTGTACAGATCAGAAAATAAGTGAAGGTGGTGATTGATAAACAACCAAACTAGCCAGAGTGGGTTTCCAACTGACTGATGAATCATTTTGTTGAGGGGTGTTGCACAGGCACAACATAGCTCTGGTGCAGAGCAGTTGCTCTCCTGCACACTTCTTTTCCACAGGTGATCCAATGATGAGCTTAGCTTGGCCTCAGCAGGGAATGTGTGGTGATGTGTTAGTAAATTGATGCAAGCCTGTAATAGTGTAGAACTTCCTAGAAAATATTACCAGGCTGATTTTGAGAGCTGTGGTTACTATAGCTTCTTACAAAATGGCTGCTAATATGAGGCATGATGGCCTAAAATTAGCAGTGGACTTCACCTCTATCATTTAGATTTTATGGAAAATTAGCCACACCAAACAAGCTCTGTGGCTTTTTGCTCTTACGGAAACTGTAAATTTATTGAAAATCATTGCGTTAATTTATGTAATTTGTTGTGTGACTTATTTAGAAACAAAGAAACCCACCATACATACTCAGTTATTGTAAAACACTTTCAGGTGCAATTTAGATACCTACACCTGCTCACAGGGGAACACCAGTAGTTCTGTGAGTAATTACATGAAACACTTGAGAGCTGGGGAGGATTTTTCTGTCAGAAAAAATGCAAGTGGAAAGGCAACTGCTAAAGGGGAAATGGGCCATGGGATTTTATACTTTTGTTTATCTATTTTTGGTTTCCCTTTTTTTGCAAGCTTTACTTAAATTGAGATGAAGGGAAAGTGAGAAGATGAGCACAGCTGGTCTCTAATGAGAGTCCAGAGATGTTTCATTCTGGTGGGGTCACTTAGTGAGATGATGACTTACACCTGCCCTCTGTTGCAAGGTTGCTGATGTATGGGGCACCTGGTGTGGATATGAAGACAGTGTCTGGTGCTACATGTGAAGGCATGACTGAGCTGAAAATTGAAGGTATGCTTGATAGATGCATCTTTTAACTCAGCTTAGAAATAATGTTCAAGTTATGCTAGATAATTTGTTTTGTGGCTCCTAAATGCAGGTAGAAGTGCTCTTTGGTGTAGCTGAGGTAGTGTCTATTGTAGAGTTCTGAGGGTTTGATTGAGTGTAGCTTCTCATGTAAGAACTAAAACAAAGAACTGTCTTGTAATTCTGCAAGTATCTTTGCTATGTTTTAGTTACGGCCTCTTCCTGACCTCATGTTGCTCTGTATTTTCACTGGGTGAAACAGTTGCTGTGAGCACTTTCTGGGAGAACTGAGGTGATAGGTTGCAATGAATGATAATCTAAATGAATTTGATATGATTTTTTTTTTAGATGGACTCATTTGAAAATCCATTCAAATACTGCTGTGTGTTGTGTTTGTGGTGTAGAAAGAAAGTAGGCCATGTTTATGAGAGGGAGTTGCCTGATCTGAAATAAATGTGTTTTGAGGAGATCTGGATGGACATGCTTGGCAAATAATAGAACTTATGGGTACCTGATGAGGTACTTTGGAAAGGTGGTGTTTATAGTTGATTACTGAAAAACTGAGAAATGAAGTATTAAAAAATGTGGAACTTACAGTGGAATTACAGAAAGTGATATGCTGATAAAAGGCAAGGATGTTGGAAAATAAGAACTTCAGAGAAATTGCTAAGATTCTTTGTGATCTAGAATAGAAATGTAACTATTATCTGAATTATTTTTATTCAAAAGAAAATCAACATGTAATTTGATGACTTTCTGATAACTATTTTTCTGCCTGATACTACAAATGCTTCTTAGTTGTTTGCTTGTTTGTTTCTGTCTCCAAAAACTGCTTGAACTTTTTTTGTTTCTTTCTTAAATCTATTATACAATTTGTGCTTTTGTAGCCTTTTATGCACTTCATCCTTCTGCTAGATGAGACTAGATTTGAAAATAATCAAGGAATAGCACTTAGCAGAGTAGCAGACCATGTGGAGGCTTGCTCAATATCTGATCAACTTTGGTTATTATTAATTTTATATTGAAGAAAGAGAAAGAGAGGACATCTGAATTTTAGTTGATTGTTCAAAATTGTAGCTAATTTAATGTGGAGTTTTGGATAGAGTAAACTCTAGACTGTAGAAGCTTAATTACAGATTGCATCCTCCTTAAGTGTTGAGAGGTGGTACCTCGTAACTGAAAAGGTGCAACAAAGTTTCAGTGAACAATTGGTATCCCATGGTTTAAGAATTACAGTTGCAAGAATGAAATTGTAGCTTTAGAAAAAAGCTGTTATGAAGTGAACTTACTGACTTCATAGAGCTCATTTCCTGAATGTAATACAAATTGGAAATGCATGGGGTTCTGTATTCTATCTAGTATGTTTTCAGTACTATAGTAAGTTTTGAAATGCATCTGTAATATTGCAGTTCTAAAAAGTACAACTAGCAACTTTGCTTGTTTGGTTGTTTTGGTTTATTCCCCTCCCCCCTTACATTATGTTTGGTAGTGTATGGCATGTTTTCTACATTGGTATTTGTCAAGGGAGGTTTCAAGAGCCTTAATGTCAAGCAACTGTGTATCTGCTTGAAAGCAAGCAACAATTCAAGTGCTTATGGCTGATGCTCTGTTTGTTCCCACTGGGCCTGCTGTTATATAGTATGACTATGTATTGTTAGCTTTGTAACATCTGATCTGCAGCCCAGACTGAAGTTGAGGTGAGAATGATCTGGGATAATTACAGGCAACATTTGCTGTGTCCTCATCCCAGTGCAGAAGGTATGAGTTCTTGGATGCTTTGTAGAAAAGCATCCTAGGAAAGACTCGAAGTGCTAGTATCAAAAGGCTGGGAAAACTTGTGCTAAACTTCATTTGCAATGCTGAGTAATCTGGTTTAAAGAGACTAAGTATTATCCACAAACCTATGAGTGGATGTATTTATGTATTGCAAGTATCGTATGTATGTATTGATTGGCCTTATGTTTATGGGATGGAAGTAACAGGCTGACTTGAGAGATCTTGTTCTTGTGCTGTTTTTCTGAACTTTCTCTATATTCAACCCAGTTGCAAATAAAGACTTGAGAGTTTTTTAGTGTTACACATAGTCTTAGCTTCTTGAATAATGACTTCTGTGGCTTAAAACCTATAAATCAGTTCCTCATGGAAATTAGACCAAAGTCTGCAACCAAATTAATGTTACATATTATTGTAATTTTTTGCACTACATCTGTCATAAACTTGAGATTTCCTACATCCACCTCAAGACTTCAGCCATATTACTGTGAAAGTTTTGCCAGAAATGTGAAAGATCTCTTTGAAGTTTTCATTCTTTTTTGTTCACTGACTGCAATCGGAGGTTACAAGGGATGAAAGAAGGGGAGTCCTAAGGCCACAATGCAATGAGAAGTGAGTGCAGTAGGTGTGTAGTCAACCCTTTTCTGTGTATTAGTACAGGAAGCTCTTCTAAAAGGAGCACCACAACTTGTGAAAATAGTGGAATGTAGTAACTGCAATATTGTACTTTCTCCACAGTGAATATATAAAAGTAGGAGACAAAGCCAGGTGTGAGATTCATGTGGTTTATAATTGTTTAGAAAGCAGAAGGGACTTCATTAACATGATCTGGTTCATGATAAGGATTCTTTGGTCCTTCTTAACCTAAAAGAAGGAAATGCTACAGGTTAAAGCTACTTTCAGTACAGTTTCTTACTATTAAAGTTGGTGTTGATAATATAAACTCTCTGCACACTTCTGTAAAGATCCTAAATAAAAGGATATCTTAACTGCTGTTTAGCTAGTTTCTTATAGAAGCAGAATCTTATCCATTCACTAACAAATTCAAATGTATGATTTCAAAGTGTCTTATGAGTATTTTTGCATGTTCTCAGTAAGTCGTCTTCTGTGTGCTTCAGAAAGCAGGACCTTAAAATGTATGTCTTGTACTACTTTAGTTTAATGGGCTGTCAGCTGTCCAGGCAGATCCAGTACAAAGTCAGACATGTCTTTAATCTTCAAAGAACATAACGAAAAAAGTGAATATATTTAGTTGTTGGCTAGGAGGTACAAAACAACTGAGGAGCAAAACAGTACTTTCTTTTTTCTGACTTGAATTAGGTAATTGAAATTGTAGCTGTCCCTGTGTGTAAAACATCCTCATAGTTAGTGAGGGGTTTACTGAAGAGTAAGTGCTCATTTGTCTCTATTTAGTAAACAGTCATAAACTCAACACTTGCTCAGTTTTTTATATTCCGTTCATTTAAATGAAGTGTGTACGTAGCTCTTGATGCCTTGTAACATAAAAGTGGGGAGTGGAGGGGAAAGGGAGGAAATATTTCATCTGAACTGAATAGAGTTCGAGTTTCTGAGAGTAAGATTAGGTTTCCTCTTTCTGTAAAGAATTAAAACAATAGGAGATGCATATGCACAAATGGGTTGTATGTATGAATTGTCTGTTATTTTAAACAAATATCTTTTATGCTTGCAATTAAAAATACTTGACCTTTACTTTCCTCTAAGTTCAGAAGCTGTGCAATAGTCTCAAAGCCCAGATCTCTGAAGTTATTAAAGGTTATTACATCCATAGAAAAAAGAATTGCATTAGTATAGGAGCTAAAAATCCTTACTGCTTGGTTTTCAGAACAACTATATATCACTAGCAGTGATCCTCAGGAACAGGATAGTCTTAAGTCATTATTATAGGACAATTAGTCAAGTACATGACGTGCTTTGCTCCTCCTGGACACAGGGTAATAGCTGAAGGAGAAGAAGGAAGGAGAAGATCAAATTTGTACTCAAACATGTTCTAGAAGCAAAATACGTGTTAATATAAAAATCATTTTTGTCACTTCACCCAGACTAGTTCTTTATTTCCTCTAGAGGTTCTCAGGAGTTAGACTTGAAGAGTAGCTGCTCTGAGCACTGGTGGAGTTGGCATATGTATGATGAATGAATTCGGTTTCATGGCCAAATTGCTTATCCAGACATGAAGGAAATCAAGCTTGTTTATTCTCCTTTCCCCTCTCTGTTCTAGCCTATTTCTGCTATTCAAACTTTAATTTACCCTTTGCATTAAATTATTCACTTGGAGCCTTTTTGTATATTGTTATTTTTAAGTTCTTAAGATTTTGCAAAAAATAAAGCTCTGAAGGAGGGAGAGTATCATGCCGTGTTCTATTTTAGCTGGAATTGTGTGTTGTACTTATAGCACCAATATATACATAACTAAATTAAAAACACTCTTAAAAGATCAAATTAGCTGAGTAAACTTGAAATTCAAACTGTTGGGGGAAGAGGAAGACTGAGATATAATTTAAACTGGAATAATGAGTTTTCATCATGAAAATGTGTTTACCACCCAGTATGTCATACCTATAATAATGCTAGACTTCTGAAGACTACTTGGTTGAAAGTAGTAGCAGTATTCTTTTTGTTGTGGAACTAATTACATTCTCAGAGAGCTACCAGTGTTGTCTGTAACTACCACAAGCTTGGTAAACATCAGTCTGTTGTGTGATGGTCTTACATGACATGGGTAGTTGGTATAGCTTGGGGTCTGTAGGATTATGATAGGGCTCCATCAAGAGTCTTGAAAGCATAGTGCTGTATTTTCACGTTGTTTTATAATTAAGTAAACAATTACAACATGTTCCCTTCTTTGGATTTGAAGGTTGGATTGTTTGGTGGATCAAGAATTGTTCTAAAGGACACAGCCAATTTTGGTCAATGACTTCATGTCCAGGTGTCAGATGGTAATGAGCAGCATCCCCTGGTGTCTGTCTTGGATCTGATATTCTTAAAAATCTTTATTAGTGACATAAATAATGGGATTGAGTGCAACCTCAGCTAGTTTGCTGATGACACCAACCTGAGCAGTGCAGTTGATGAAGCAGAAAGAAGGAATGCTTTTCAGAAGGACCTTGGTAAAGTTTAAAGGTGGACCTTTGTGAACCTATTGAGGTTCAACAAAGCCATGTGCAAGAGTTAAGGTAATCAGAATATTTATACAA